TGTTGCGCACGGAGGAAGCGGACTCGATCCACAACAAGTCGGCAAGCAATGCTCAAAGAACACAACGAACATAATTCACAATAGAAACAGCCAAAATCAATCACAAACACAAAGAATTACGTGGTTCGACAAGATGCCTACGTCCACGGGGAGAGGATGAGGAGATTTTACTATATGGTGGAGAAATACAATGGGTTACAACTCTCAAACAATCAAAATAACCATCACCAACAAGATCTCACTCACCTACAAATAATCTCTCTCTCAAAGTGCTCAAACAACTCTCTTTTCTCTAATTAACCCTAATAAAAATGTTCATTCTATTTATATAAACCCTCAATTTAAAACAAATTAGGAAACGGTTTTACCCGTTTAGCCCGCTATCGGTCGACCAATAGGAATTCATCGGTCGAATGACCAGAGTGAATTTCCCTAGTTGCTGTAGTGCACGTTATCAGTCGACCGATACATCCCTATCAGTCGACCGAATAGAATAAATTTCTATACCTGTTTTCTGGCGGTCGAATCGGTCGACTAATGAAATTGATCAGTCGATCGATGGTCTGTGCATGTCTTCAACAATTCTCCACCTCGGCGAAGCGTTTCCAAAACTGAGCCTACACCAAAAGGAGCACCAATGTGTTGTTTCTCTAAATCCGGCTACACCAATGTGATTGTCTACATACCCCTCTCCTAAGAGATCAAGCCGCTCGTAGTTTCTCCAAATGGCCTCAACAGACCTCAACAAGCACAAATCTGTAATAAGTTTCTACAGTGATTAAACTTGCTGCTAGGGACCACCTTCGTGAGCATATCTGTTGGATTGTCTTTTATATGGATCTTCACAAGCTCCACATCCCTATCTTCAAGAACATCACGAACGAAGTGATAGCGAACATCAATATGTTTCATCCTTATATGAAAAACTTGATTCTTCACCAAATAGATAGCACTCATGCTATCATAATGAATAGTGACAGATCATTGCAAAACACCAAGGTTCTCCAAAAGTCTTCGAAGCCATATTGCCTCCTTAACAGCCTCTGTAATCGCCATATACTCTGCCTTTGTCATCGACAAAGAAATTGTAGACTGTAAGGTGCATCTCCAACACAGTGCACGGGTCAAAGTAAACACATACCCCGTCATCGACCGACGCTTGTCCAAACCTCAACATAGTCAGAATCTACTTATCCAATGCATAACTGCCCACCACCAGTGTCCCGCTCAAACACAGTGCAAGGATCAAACTGGCTCCTTATGTATGACTTGCCGAGCATAAACCCATCGAATTGCCTATACCATTGTCTTTGAGATTGCTTCAACCTGTATAGCGACTTTTTTAATCTACACACCAACTTTTCCTTCCCTACAGCTCGAAACCCCAATGACCGAGTCGTATAAATTTTTTCATCAAGATCACCATGAAGAAATGTTGTTTTTACATCCAATTCTAATTCATACTGCGCTACCAAAGTTAGTAAGATCCGAATAGAAGAGTTCTTTACCACCGGAGAGAAGACTTCATTGTAGTCAATTCCTTCTTCCTGTGCATAACCATTTGCTACTAACATAGCTTTAAATCTCACTGGAGTACCTTGAATGCCCTCCTTTTTTGTATACACCCATTTACAACCGATCGCCTTCTACCCTTTTGGAAGCTTAACAAGCTCCTATATGTCATTCTTCTAAAGAGACTCCATCTCCTCCTACATAGCACCCTGCCACATATCAACCTCTGAACACTGTTCAGCCTCTTTGAAAGTAGTAGGAACCACCTCATCGACACTCTCCACTAAAAGTGCATAAGCAACCACTGTATCTGTATACCATGCTGGCAACCGTATCTCTCCTGGGTCTTCGAACTGCTATAGAATCCTAAACCTAAGCCGTCGATCCTTGATCCTTCTCTGCTATACCTGTATCCTCCAACTCATCATTGTGCTCTCCTAGCGTCACCTCGGTCAACACTCTACTGGATATGATCGTTCTAATTGCGACAGATATAGTCAATGAATATAAAATCTACGGGCGTCGGAGAGGATGTATACGTACGTCCGCGATGTACAGAAGTCCATTTGCATTGTCTAGGAATCCGTCCGCGATAAATATCACGAACGAGAAAAAAATCAATTTTTAGTTTGTAAAGTTCCATCTCTGCTGTGTCCTCCGATGATTATGCATTTTATAGGCGTTTTTTTCGTCGATGCCTGTTGTAGCTGAATCAGCATAGACTGGAAAATGCATCTAAGCTCTAGTGAGGATACTATGAATAGAAAGATCTGTCTACTATACTTATTAGCCGTTAATTTCTAGAGCATAGAAGTATTCTTCCACATGCAATAAGCCATCCGTAGACATTATAGACGGACGGACATCATAGGCGAAAAAATCAATGCAGATAGAACATCACAGATGGAAAACCAAAAATTATGCATGTGATATCCGCATGGGCATCACAATTGGACTCTATACTACTCTTAACCCTTCAGATAATAGAGATTTCTATTGCGGACCCCTTTCATCGCTACTAATTATCCTTAGTGACTTTAGCTACAACGTTCTCTAAAGTTACCTTGAATCCTTTTGCCTCTAAAGCTCCAACAGAAATAAGATTTTTCTTCAGTTGAGGAACAAACCTTACTTCATTCAACTCTCTAACAACTTCATTGTGCATCTGAATCCTGACAATACCTATCCTACAAATGCCACATGACTAATTATTTCCCATGACCACCACACCCCCATCGAGCTTTTCAAAAGATACAAATCAATCTCTCCAGGGAGTCACATGATAAGTAGCACCAGGATCCAGCATCTAATCCCATGCTTCTGCATGGTTAATCTCTGGAGTAATCAAAAGAGAAAAGCATGAGTCATCAGAATCATTACCACTTCTAACAACATTCACCTCTCTGGTCTTCAGGCCCTTCTTTTTGCTATTCTCCTTCTCTCTCAGCTTCGGGCAATCTCTCCTCCAATGTTCTTATTCTCTACAGAAAGCACACTGGTTTTTAGCAATTTGGTTGTGTCCTCTAGACTTTGACCTGCCCTGATTACTACCTCTAGGATAGGGACTCCTTCCTCTTATTGACAAGTCTTCTCCTGAAGTGTTAGCTCTAGAAAATTCTTTATTCTTCCTCATCAAATCGAAATTTATCAATGCATTTGTCACTTTACTATAGGTGATGGAAGATCTACCATTTAGTAATGTAAGTACAAAGGTGTCAAAATTCTCATCGGGTAATGAGCCTAACAAAATGTTCGTCTTGTACTCATCCGATATCTTCTCATCAACATTTGCTAAGTCCGACAATAACTTTGTATAGTTGTTCACATGATCTGTAAGTGAGGTACCACTGGACATGTGGAATCTGAATAATCTCCACATCAAGTGCAACTGATTCTCAACACTTTTCGTAAGATATTTGTTATTGAGAATCTTTCACGTCTTCATCGCAGACGTCACACCAATAACATCATATTTCAACTCTTGTTCTAAACAAGATTTAATCATCCCCACAAATATTTCTATTCATCTTGTCCCACACCGTCTCATCATATTTAGGTGGCCTCTCATGAAAAATTATTGTCTCTTCTAAGTTTTGAGCATTCAAAGCATCCTGCACATTACTCATCCACAATCCAAAATTGATTTTGTCATCATATTTTAAAACACTAATTTTTGTATTTTGAAGTGCAACCTGATATGTACTCGACGTAGCCTTGCTACTATCACTACTTTCTTCCGCCATTACTTACTAACTCCAAATTATAGAAGAAAAATTCAAGATTGATAGAATTTAGAAATCACCCAAATTGAACCCTAGATAAGATTCCAAAACAATCTCCTAACACACGAGGAAGACGAGATCTCCAATGACAACTCTACAACGCTACCTCCACTGAAACCTAGATCTCCAAAATCCAAGTTTCCAACACCAGATTTTCCTCCACCCAAAACAAACCCTAGATCTGAAACCCTAGAGCTCTAATACCATTTGTTGCGCACGGCAGAAGCGGACTCAATCCACAACAAGTCGGTAAGCAATGTACAAAGAACACAATGAGCACAATCCACAATAGAAATAGCCAAAATCAATCACAAACACAGAGAATTACGTGGTTCTGTAAGATGCCTACGTCCACGGGGAGAGGATGTGGAGATTTTACTATATGGAGGAGAAATACAATGAGTTACAACCCTCAAACAATCAAAATAACCCTCACCAACAAGATCTCGCTCACATACAAATAATCTTCCTCTCAAAGTGCTTAAACAGCTCTCTTTTCTCTGATTAACCCTAATAAAAACGTTCCTTCTATTTATATAAACACTCAATCCAAAACAGACTGGGAAATGGTTTTACCCGTTCAGCCCGCTATCGGTCGACCGATAGGGATTCATCGGTCAATTGACCAGAGTGAATTTCCCCAGTTCCTACAGTGCACGTTATCAGTCGACCAATACATCACTATCGGTCGACCGACCAAAATGATTTCATGTACCTGTTTTTTGGTGGTCGAATCGATCTACTGATAAAATTGATAAGTCTATCGATGGTCTGTGCATGTTTGTGCATGTCTTCAACAGTTAGTTACACTTAATCGAATTGGAAATGTATACAAAATGAAGATGGTTAAGAGTGATGTATCGTGCCGCTCAATACAAAATATGTTAGTCCTTTATTGTGTGAATTCTAAAGGGAGCAGCCAACAGGGAATGTTGGAAACAAGCTTAAACTATTAGGCCTGTAGTTTTTTGGCCATTGTCTAGTTTCACAAATTGACAAAAATACTTAGCTATTGACATAAATTACCTACAAAATGAGGCCTCAACATATTAAACAAATGTAAATATCAGCATTCGGACTCTGAATGCGCTTGTGCGCACGAAACGTGATCCTTCCTCCGTTGCACCAAATTTAAGAATACTCACAACATTCCAAAGGAATCTGCAACAACTTCACGGCACTTTCTCAATGATTAAGGACTTAGAGATGCAATAATCACAAGTAAAAATCTCTATATAAACCAATGCCATCTTTCCGTTTCCAATCATCTCACAGTTTGCTCATTAACTAACGATGGCTTCTTTGGGTTCACACAGATGCCTATTGTTCTCTTTGGTGATATTCAGCATTTGGGTTTCACTCTCCACGGCGTCCCGTGACCTGAGTGAGACATCGATGAAGGAGAGGCACGAGAAATGGATGGCCCAGAATGGGCGAGTCTACAAGGACGCAGCAGAGAAGTTGCACCGGTTTAAAATATTCAAGGCCAATGTCGAGTACATTGAAGCGTTTAACTCTGCAGGAGCGCATAAGTACAAGCTCGGAGCTAACCAGTTTGCTGATCTGACGAACGAGGAGTTCAGGGCCTCTTATAACGGGTTCAGGCCTTCGAAGCCAAATGTAATAAAGGCGGCAGTCAGAAGCAACTTCAAGCATGAGAATTTTACTGCAGCTCCTGCAAGCATGGATTGGAGGACCAAGGGTGCTGTAACTCCTATCAAGAATCAAGGACAATGCGGTGAGCAAAATCGTACACATTTCTTAGTAGTCCACATTATTTACCGTTAACTGACACCCGCAGTATCGCTGTTTTGAGCTTCCTACTCCTTTAGTTTTATTTTTGCAGGTGAGAGGTCGTATTGCCGCTTTGAACTTCTTACTTCTTTAGTTTTATTTCTGCAGATAGACCTCTTACAGGCTCGTTTTTGACTCTTTTAGTCTCAGAGAAAAGAAAACTGTTTTTTGGACAAGGTGGTAAAAGAGTCAAAAAATTTAAAAAAAAAGCTAGAAGGTCTATCCGCAAAAATAAAGCTAGAGGAATAATAGGCTAAAAAAATATACTGCGATCGGTCTATACACAATTAACCCTATGATTAAATAATGTTTCTCATTTTGCATGTATATGTGAATGCAGGATGCTGTTGGGCATTCTCTGCAGTAGCATCAACAGAAGGAATCCACAAGCTGACTACAGGCAAACTCATCTCCCTCTCAGAACAAGAGCTCGTGGACTGCGACACCAGCGGGGAGGACCAAGGATGCAATGGACTCATCTCCCTCTCAGAACAAGAGCTCGTGGACTGCGACACCAGCGGGGAGGACCAAGGATGCAATGGCGGTTTAATGGACAACGCCTTCAAGTTCATGATGAAGAACAAAGGCCTGACAACCGAAGCCAAGTATCCATACACAGCCACTGATGGCACCTGCAGTTCCAAAAAGGCTTCAGCCAGTGCTGCGACCATCACAGGCTACGAGGACGTGCCTGCCAACGACGAGTCGTCCCTGCTCAAAGCGGTTGCCAACCAGCCAGTGTCAGTTGCGATTGATGCGGGGGGTTCAGACTTTCAACTGTACTCGAGCGGAGTGTTCACAGGGGAATGCGGTACTGATTTGGATCACGGCGTGACTGCAGTTGGGTATGGGAAAACGAGCGATGGGACAAAGTATTGGTTGGTGAAGAACTCGTGGGGAACTTCGTGGGGAGAGAAGGGATATATCAGGATGGAGAGGGATGTCGACGCTGAAGAAGGGCTTTGCGGGATCGCAATGCAGGCTTCATATCCAACTGCCTGAAGAAGAATAGTAGTTATCCTTCATGTTATATGATAGATGTGCATGCTTCATGTTAAAGGGAAGTCTATCTGTTTGAATCTTTGTACTCTTGGTTGATGCTTGTGGTAAATTTCAACAACCGGGAGGATGTTGTTTCACTTGTCCTTGTATATGTGTGAGAGTATACACATTGTGCTGCGCAACTTTGGCTAGTTTTTGCATTTTCACATTAGGCCATTTCAAGATGATTCAAAAGTAATTATTGGGAAGTAAATGGAAAAGATAATATCTTATACAATATGAATAAAGTAAGAAAAGAAAGGTATTGAAATATTTTTCTTCTCATGCTTAACCTACATACATTTTACTAAAAATACTTATATTAACTTGGTAGAGCAACTTTTCATTTGGATTCTTTGTGAGTGTGGGACATCTATCGAAACTGTTAATTTTGATGTATCACATGAATATCATGTTATGCCAAAGACCGAAATACCCATACATTTAAAAAAAAAACTTTATTGTCCTATTTTGTATGTTTCCTGCTAAAATCACTTTTACCCTTTCTGCTCGTGTTTGCTTTCAGGTTGGAGCTCACAATCCCCAAATTTTTGTTTTTGGTGATTTTCTCCTTCCAAACTCCAAACTGATGCTATTTTATGTAACACTGTCATGGGGGTTAAGGTCAAAAAAATGTTTGGGGTTTTTGTGGATTTTCCTAAACTTATTGGGGGTTATGTGAAATTTTCAAACCTTTTGAGGGTTAATTGAAAAATTCCCAAACTTATTTTTTACTTTTTATTTTTTATTTTTTATTTTTTGAATTTACCTCGAAGCAAAATGATGCTGCAGCTGCTGAAAGATACCTGACAAATCGCTGACGATCGAGCAATGCAGAGTAGATGCAATGCATTGGCTTGGAAATCACCTAATGTTTGCGCCTTTGTTTGCAGTTCTGGCAGAGGCCCAGTAATTCTAGGCATCGCAACGACCCAAAAAAGGACATACAGAAAAATATAACGGAAACATGAATGTGATGTATCTGATGAATGTGATGTATCTGGTGAAGCTCAAGCATGAAGAAGGCAGGAAGTTATCCGACCTATTTTCACAATTTAATGAAAAGCAGTGAAAACTAAAATTATGGCACTTTTTCATGGAATACATTTACCTCAAAATTAGTACTACAGCCACAAAAGCAAAGAAGAATGGTTTTACATAAACAGAAAAACTTTTTCACACTTAACTAGGAGGGAAAATTGTTTCCCAGCACCTTGAACTATGTAATACTGATATCTATGACTTTCATTGTGAATCCTCAGGACATAAGGCCAATTTATAAGCCGCATTTCCAACTCTTTCCAGAATCTCAATGGGACCAATATATCCGTAACCGGATTTATTCCCACCTACTGATTCTTTCTATTCCTTTTGAGGGAGAGTGAAACCCAAAAATAAACTATGTGATGTAAGTTACAGAACACTACATTAGCAAATTCCGTAACGTGCATCAGATGCGGATAATGCAGCACTACTAATGCACTGTGTTTTTAAAGGGCCATTGAGTAGCGCTTCACCTACGACATGCAAAATAACGCATAACGCACTATTTTCGACTTTGCTTCGTTATGTACATTGCGCGGTCATCTACGTACATAGTCTAAACGTGCCGTAGTCACTTGAGAGCACCTTTCCTGTGAATTTGACTCCAGGGCATCTATAGAAATACGGCAGAAATATGTTAACCAATATACGATATCTGAATTCCAATCATATCACTTTCACAATATGATTTCTAGTTTGGTCTGTAATGGAGAAATAAGGAAAAGGCTTTGGCATCCGTTCCTCTCTGAAAGCTACAAAGGGGAGAAGCCAATGAAGAAACCAACATACAATATTTAACCTGTTAATTTTTTTGTTTGACTAAAGTGTATTTCACAATTTGACAAAATAACTTAATGTAAACAAACGCACATTACACATAAACTGAAGCTTCAACATATTAAACAAATCTAAACATGAGCATTCAGAGTTTGAATGCACTTCATAGACGCACAAAACGTAATCCTTACTCTGCTGCACCAAATTAAACAACATTCCAAAGAATCTGCAGCAACTTCACGGCACTTTCCTCGACGATTGCAGAATTGGAGTTGCAATAGGCACTGCTGAAATCTCTATATAAACAAATGCCATCTTTGTGCTCAATCACCTCACAGTTGTATTGATTTGCTAACCATGGCTTCTTTGGTCTCACACAAATGCCTACTGTTCTCTTTGGTTATTTTGGGCATTTGGGTTTCGGTCTCCACAGCATCTCATGATCTGAGCGAGACTTCGATGAAGGAGAGGCACGAGAAATGGATGGCTCAGCATGGGCGAGTCTACAAGGACACGGCAGAGAAGTTGCACCGATTTGAAATTTTCAAGGCTAACATCGAGTATATTGAAGCGTTTAACTCCGCAGGGGTGCACAAGTACAAGCTTGGAGCTAATCAGTTTGCTGATTTAACGAACGAGGAGTTCAAGGCCACTTATAACGGGTTCAGGCCTTCGAAGCCAAATGCAGTAAAGGTGGCAGTCAGAAGCAACTTCAAGCATGAGAATTTTACCGCAGCTCCGGCGAGCATGGATTGGAGGACCAAGGGTGCTGTAACCCCTATCAAGAATCAAGGCCAATGCGGTGAGCGCAATTGTACACATTTCCTAATAGTGCACATATGATTTAGGCTTATATGCATGTAACTTAGGCTTATACGCACATAGATCCAATGTAGTATCGCATTTTGGAATTTATTCCCTTGTAGTTTGATTTTGGTAGATTGACCCCTTGGTTGAATTTTTTTCCTTGGGTGAATTTTTTTTGGGAAAATTGCTTGGGGGAACCAAATTAAGTTGGGTCATTCATCCCCACCCCAAGCTCAAAAAGCATAACCAAAAAATCCTTTTATAAAAATATAAGTGCAACCAACCCCCAAACACTGTATAATCCCACTATCCCATGAACTCATTCCCAAATTACCCTTCCCTTCCCAATTTAAAACCAAAAAAAATACTCCACAATCCCTTTCCTTATCCAGCGATTATTTGTGGTTCCTCCAATCAATTTTCCCTAAAAAAATCATGTCGACCTCCGACTCCGATACCGAACCCGACCCGTCGTCGGTCCCCCGATCAATCACCGTCGTCGGAGCTGAGAGGATCGTCGCGGCAGCGGCTGCGGCGTTGCCTCCTCCGTGTGGTGGGGGGTACAGTAGAGGATCTAATCTTAGGGCTTGTATGCCCTTGAGAGATTCCACGAGTACCCATCATAATAGGTAATTTTTTTTAATTTCACTTTATTCAATTTTTTGTAATTTTAATTTTAGTTGAGAGAATAAATCGGGTTGTTGGGTTTTCTGCTTCTTGTTTCCCCTCGGTTGCTAGTAGTGGGTGTTATCTTTATTTTTAAAGAATATTTTATACCCTTTTGGGTGCGTTGAAGAATTTTATTTTTCTTTCTTGATGGGTTATCTCAACTAGATTTTTGCTCCTTACACTTTGAATTTTTATGAAAGGTTTTATTTGCTAATTTTTTTCCATCCATTAATGTAGCTATCTCTCTGATGGCTTAAATTTTGCTAATTTCATCTTTATTTTACCTATTTTTTACCATTTATTCCCTCAATTTTAATCTAATTCCCTTATTCTAACCTGTAGAATAGTACTAATCAAAATTAGAGCAGAATATAAAGATACCTTTTTGATGAATTGTTAAATTTAAGAGGTATGATTGTTTATATCCTTTTCATACACATGATTCTTATATGATGTCTAGGTACGAGGAGGAGGTTGAGAAGGCAATGAGGCAGATGTGTGGGCTTGAATGATGCAGATTCACTCGAGCCCGTCCGATCAGAATCTTCACAGTTCTTGGGGCTCTGTTGCTGATAATGATGATGAGAAGGAGAACAAAAGATGGTTAAATGGGAGTGTTGTTATTTTCTTAGTTATTCAAGGTTAAATGGGAAAATGAGGGAACATATATGTATCACAATTAACTGTAAATGTGACAATAAGCATATCATGTGATATTTTAATGTTATATGTGACAATTCAATCTTATATGTGACAGTTCTACCTTATATGTGATATTTAGATCTTATTTGTGATATTTGGGTGTTGTATGTGATATTTGGGTGTTGCTTGTGACATTTGTTATTTATACATAACATTTGGGTGTTGTATGTGATATTTGGGTGTTGCTTATGATATTTGTTGTTTATACGTGACATTTGGGTATTGTATGTGATATTTGGGTGTTGTATGTGATATTTGGGTTGTAACGGCTTTATCCGAAGAAGGTAAAATTGAATGCAGGCTAGGGTCATAACGGCTTCGGATAAAATTTAACACAAACCAGGGTCGTAACGGCTTCTCGGATCAATTTTAACGGCTTTGGATCAGGGTCCTGTTACGGCTTCAATCCCATCTTCAAGAGCCACTCGGTGTTGGTGACCTCCTCGTCGGGGTCGATTTGGGTGTTGCTTGTGACATTTGTTATTTATACGTGACATTTGGGTGTTGTGACATTTGATATTTATAATGTGCTTACATTATAAATAGCAAACACCCAACCATTATAAATAACAAATGTCACAACACCCAAATGTCACGTATAAATAACAAATGTCAAAAGCAACACCCAAATATCACATACAACACCCAAATATCACATATAAATAACAAATGTCACAAGCAACACTTAAATATCACATACAACACCCAAATATCACATACAACATCCAAATATCACGTATAAACAACAAATGTCATAAGAAATACCCAAATATCACATACAACACCCAAATGTCACGTATAAACACCCAAATGTTTACATACATTTGTTGTATGTGATATTTAGGTGTTGAATGAAAGTTACCAAACATCTCATTTAACCTTGAATAACTAAGTTACAATCTCAACCCATCATCCCATTTCCTTCGTAGAACCAATCTATAGCAATGTGCAGTACAAACAATG